TGAATGCCATAGAAATGCTCACTGAACTGGCACTCACTCCTCATGGTCTCCATTATTTAGAAGACAGAAATGTCCTCAAGGATCTTGAGAAAATACTAAACACATCAGATGGAGATCCACTCAGGAGCTTTCTTGTCCCAGGTACTTCAGGATAGTCTAGTTGCCAATGGGAAAAACAAAATGCTTCTTGGTGGTATTTTCCTCAAATCCTTGAAAGGGATCATCTTACAATATGAATATTTCACTTTTGAAAAAGCTCTATAGGTGCATCAAACTCAAATCAGTCTTTGTAACAGGTATTGCACAAAACAATCATGACTCATGTTCTCAGGTGCAGTCAAGTTCTTCGGGAATGTGGCTCGTCTCAAGCCTGAAGAAATCTTGGACCGGTATCCACAATTTATTGCCAATATAAATTCCTTTGTGAGGAGTGATGACCTTGGTCTTAAGCATGTGGCTGTGGATACCTTTGGATTTGTGGGATCCACACCCAAGGGAAAACTGGCTTTACAAAGAATAGGTGAGGTGTTACTTGTTTTTTTTTTTTTTTCAGAGATCAAACGAACTGTTAATCTGGCTCACACAACCTTTAGTAGGCTTTTTTTGTGAGCATTCTTTCCTGTCTAGGTATCTGTTTTACACTTTGCTCATTTGACAATATTAAATATATATTGGCCTGAACAATTGAAATTGATAAGTTGATAGATAGGAAAAAGATGCAAGCTAAGTTCACTTTTGACCAAATTCATTCCAAAGACAATGTTCAGTGCAAATTTGATATTGGCTTATAGCAGGAAAGCCATGAGCAACTGTCAGCCTTTCTGGATCTTTACTGTGAGATGCATGCACATTGCTCAGCCTGGGGGGGAATGTCATGTCACCAGTCAGAGTTGCTGCTTTCCCTCTAACCTTCATTGTGTGACACACCTATTGTTGACAGATATGGACCAAGGCAATATATAGTGGTATAGACAGGATTACTTGCTGAACTCATGAAATGCCATGTTTGGCTATACTGCACATGGTGCTTTCATCCCATCTTCCACCCTCTACCCACCTACCACATACTCCTGTTCCCAACAGTCTATGAAAGAAAGCCCACTATTAGAAAGAACTTTCCTAACTTGTTTCATTATTCTCATTTGCCTTTCATCACAGACATGAAACAACTACTGCAGGACCTGAGTCATTTGGCTGAAGATGCAAGTACAGAGACAAGGACCAGAGCTATGAACACCATTGCTTCTCTCCTTTCTCTTAATGTGAGGCATTGGTATTGTATCTTATGCATTCTAAGGTCAGATTTCTGCAAGTTTGTATGCTTGTTACTACAGGTTGAAAATTCAAATAATGAGTTAGAGAACCTCACTGAATCATGGTTTAGGCATCTCTCCAAGGATCCAATGCAATTCTGTCTGTCCCTCTGCAAGCAACCATTCACTGACATTCGTACTGCTGCTCTCAAGATTCTGCAGGTCATTGCTTCACAGCATTGGGGTCAAGTATACATTAAAAATACACCAGGTGAGTTAATGATACCTTATCTGAAGTGGTTCCTTGAGCTATGATCTTTGACCCAGAACTTACAGTATGAGAAGTGGATAGACCAATGTCAAGTGCAGACTTGTATCTTCATTTTGCAGGATGCTTGGAGTATATACTAGACCGCCGCACAGAACATGAGAAAGCAGGAAAGGAAGGAAAATATGAAGTTGTGTCATCAATTGTCTCCAGCCCTACTGCCCTTACTGTGTTTGGAACAGAAATGTTGTTGCCTCTTCGCAAGTACGAGAGAGAAGGGCCCTTCTTCATTGCACCTGATGTC